AATTAACTCTTTCTCTAACTTAGGAATATTGATTCCAGCAATTAGACGATCACGTAGTTGAGTATGCAGCTGATCTCCAAAGTTACACTTTGAAGCTTGAATTTGGAGTTGAAGAATGAAGTCTCTAATCCTCTGGTTGGGAGCACGAACCAGTTTATTGAATTGAGCCCTCTCTCTGGTCTCAAATGTAGTTACATGAAAGTGATTTATCAGAAGTTCACGAATCTTGACATATGATAAAGAAATAGGTTTTTCTGGAAATGACAGAGTCTTTACTAGGCTATACGCATCTAGCCCAATAGCAGTGATGAAATGTGCTGGTATTTTGTCATCCCGAACATTCTTTGAAATGCACCACGCATCGAAGCATTCCAAATAATCAGCAATCTCCCGCGGAGAACCATTAATAGGAAATTTTCCCAGGTTATTTAGTTCCATCGCGACGCCAATTTGTAGTAATTTATTGTAATCGTAGTATTAGTATTTCAAGATGACCGAATTACAAGAATCCAAACAAAACACAGAGAGGGCAGAACTCAGGAATTTGTATTTAGCGGAATTATTATGCAATTCATATAAGAAACATATCAACAGTCAACAGTAAGTATTTAAACAATACAGAGATAGAAATTGTCAATCGCCACAATCAGCTTTGTGATAAGATAGCCAATTTTATTTTATTGTTACTTAGTGAAATGTTTATTACCACGTTCTGACGACATTTGCTCTTCTCAAAATTACAAGGAGAGACAGTTATCTACAACGTTGTTGAGTAAAAATAATTTTGAGCAAGGTTTATTTAGAAGTAAAATGAAACTGCTAAGTTTCTATTTTTGTGTAATTATACAGCAAAGACATCCAAATTTTTGAGGGGAATAAAAACATCAACGACTGCTAAAAAGGTACAAATTTTTCTAATCTGCTAAAAGAGGAGTTGTAATTGACAAACTTACCTATGAGTAATACTTGAAAACGCCTGATTACAGAGGCTAAATGATTATATTTGTTAATGCAGTAGAGCACGACGAATGTACAAGTTCTCTTATCATCGTTATACAAGGGATTACTAGGCTGCCGCTAAGCTAATAACAAAAGAAAAGGGTTTTCATCTCTTCAGAGTATCCGATCTCGTACTACAATAACCGAATGCAGGAAAAAATAAACGATTGTCTCACTAACAATACGCAAACTGTTAATCGACAATTCGCTGAGTGTGCTTGAAGGAAAGGCTGAACATAATTTTAGACATTTTCCTGATAATGTGGCTGTATTCATTTTCAGTTTGAGAAGTGATATGAAATATTAGGCTTGGTTGAAGGAAAAGAACGAACATAGTTGGAAGTACTTCCATGAGTTTGTTACATAACACATCACAATAGCAGGCTCATAGTAAGTGGGGAATTTAGACATTCAGCCGTAAAGTAAAGGTGTGACATCATCAAATTATTTGACTGATTGCATGCGTAAGTCAAGCTTTACAGGCCTTTGTAAGGAAACGATCAATATGGGATATGAGGCTGCAATCCATAAACTTATAATTTGACAGTATGACATTAACAAAGGTTGTGTTACTGAGCCATATACTAAACACTTGTGATGTCAAAATAAAATCGATCTGTTATCTCTCAGCCAACTAGATGACTCCTGAAGCTTTGTCTTTCTCATTATTAACTTTCTTAATACCTTCCGATTACCGGTATTTCTTTTTGCCTCGTAAAAGAACAACCATTTATTGTTTTTCTTGCACCCACAAGTCTAATACACTAGGCGACTTATCGTAGGAATGGCTGTGGCAATCATTGTTAGTACTTTGAAATATATACGGCGATTCGCTTCTTGGCTTTGACCTTTTACTGTTCTGAATTTAAAGGGTTCAAGGGACTTTTGCAAACATATTTTTGCGCAAAGTGGTTGGCTTATAGATGACAGGAATGCTTCCAACAGCCTAGATGTTTATATTCGAACATATGCGGCTTTCGGGTGAAGAAATATGTCGAGTGTTGGGTGCCGGTAAGAATTTCTTGAAGGATGAATGTATGATCAATATACACTATTTTTTGTCTAAAGACTGCTTGGTTTTCTGACGTCTGTTTCCTCAGAGCACCACCTAATATATGCATTATTGTTAAGTCTAGAACTTCAGATACCCCGTTGGTCAATCTAACTCCCCTATGATTATCACAGGAAGACTTGTGGCCGTTCTTATAAACTGGAATAATCAGCCACTTGCTCTATTCTGACAGGACTATCTCTGTTTCCTAAACATTTTCTAATATCTTATTGTTGTTTACTGGCAATGAAATACACGAGTCTAGTTGATGGCGGGTCTGATACAGTTTCCATACATCAACAACTAGGTTAGAACTGGTGACATCCAAATAACTCGAATTCAGCTAATAATTGGACAGTTCAAAAAGTAGCAAATGATGAACATAGTATATTAACACAATCTGGTTGTATGTGTAAAACTTGGGCACTGTGGTAGTAAGTAATTCCATATTAGTTTGTTTATTAGATGTATCACACAGTGAAACAATATTATTTACTGGATGACGTTTCAAACAAAATTGATATGATTATGAACAATAAATTCTGTTCGAAACGTCATTCATTATATAATACTGTTTTACTGTGTGATACATCTAATAAACAAACTAATATGGAAAAATGTGGTTATAATTCACTTTATAGAATCTGATAAATATAAGGTTTAATAGGTTGGAAACAGGATGAAGGGAAATGGTTTTCCTTTGCAGATTAATAACATCTAAAACCAATGCGTGGTTTATTTTGAATTTCCTGTAGAATAAAAACAAGGAAGTTTTTGACTCTGTAAATGCCGGTAAATAGGGGGTAGCCAAAAATTAAAACAACCTATTTGATGTTATGCAGATGTCTTCGATATTCCATCCCATACATTACTGCCACTACTGCTAATGGATATCCACCTTGAGTCATAATTAATTAATGTTAAAGTCGACCCTCAGAAAGGAAAAAAAGATTGTGCCAAGTTTAAAAGCACTTCACTTGGTGACAGCCTTAGGGTTCGCATTTATGAACACAACGAACCTGAGACTGAAAGGTCCGCAAGTATTAAACAGTGCGATTGCTCGTCATCTATTGGACACTGGTCATATTGTAGACAACCTGAAGTCGTTCAAAATAATCAACAAGCAAAAGAAACCTAGCTTGCCACGCTTTGGTGAAGCAATTGCCATCAAACGAGTTAAACCAAATCTATGTACGCAGAAAGAGACAGTGGTGAATCTTGCACTGCCCTGGTGATAACAAAAAAATATACCACTTTCATGAGTCACCTTTTTCATGTTTAGAAAACTCTACTCTCTCATCTAAACATGACTCATCCTACCTTGTTTCTTTTCTTTCCTTTTTTCTATTGGCTATTAGATAAGACGTTTCCTTTAGTTACGTAATCTACTTTTTTGTCATGCTCTTTCTACCTAAACCTTGTTTCTGTACACTTACATATATACGCAAACCTGTTTGTTTTTTGTTTCCAAGCCTAACTGTCTACTTATTCTATAAATAGTCAGTGTTTGTAACTCCTAATCAGTTAAATCATTCGGGACTAATGTTACTTTTAATTCCTACCAATTACTCCTTATGATCGTGGAAAAGTATGTTCATATCTTTAGCGTAATTCATATCTTTTAATCTTCAGGTTGTAACCGGTTGAGAAGAATCCTCGAAATAATAAAAGATGAACTCATATTATCCTGGTACAGTTGTTGTTCTTGCTTTGTTCAAGTTTATTAATGGGAAGAATTGCATGAAATTTTTATAAAAATGAATTTTAACTCTCTATGGAAAACATTTTTCCTCTGGTGGTCGCATTGTTTCTTAAGGTCACAAAGGATGAAAGGTGAAGATGTATGTATATCTGGTATACTGCTGAAACTTAACTACTCCCGTAGTGAACCTAAAGCTTTCCAAACCGTTCTTATTTGTACAGTACTGATATAAACAGCTTTTTCTATCTTTCTATATAAGACCAACTTTCCTCATTTTCATTGTAATTTGCATATTTTCTTATATTATACTTTTGTTATCCAAGCTAAATAATTCCACTTTTTATTAAATTTAAGTTAATATCCACTGCTTCCACTCATTTTGTTATCTTTTGTTTTGCACTAACTTTTGATGTATGTCATTATGTCCTTTGAATAAAAAGTATTGTAGTTGTCAAATACAGTTAGAATGTTCACCGAGAAATGCATATATATTCTCATTACTTCATCAGTGAGAATAAAAACTTTAATGGGAAGCATTCATGCACTGGAAACGTTACTTTTTACTCAATTTTAAGAACAGAACCAGCAGAGATATATCGTGAGAAAAGCAGGCTTCAGAAAAGAGTTATTTCGAATATCTGTGAGTCACAATGACCATGCAGTAAATAGTGGTAGAGTTTATTTCAATACAACACAAACATGAAATGTTACTGATGTTACCTTTTAGCCAGTTTTCAAACGCCTTCCTTCGATATCATTTTGCTACTTGCTAATTAATATTATCTATCGATTCATTCTCTTTACATGATAAGTTTTGTCAGGAACCAATATTAGTTAGATAACCACTAACAATTGGGGAACACTGGACAGCTGTTTTGACCTAGTTTAAGAATCTTCAGCGGTGCTTATTAATCAGACATTTTAAAAACCGTGATGACCTTGAATCAAGTTAACCATTTTTCTTTGGTTTCGTAAACAAATCGCCTACATTGTGTCAGACACTAACTAACCGAATTCTTTTTTCTGTCATCCCAATGTCATTACCAGTTTATTCTAACAAAAATATCAACATTATATTAGTAATTATATAATAATTTGAAAAAGAGAGTACAATGACATTTTAAATGAAGCATAACGGATTCACATGAAATGCAGCCTAAATTACTATAATTAAATTAAAAGCAAGATATAGGATTAATAATGTGATTTCTGTTTATGAGGCGCATAATACTCATAAATTTGTTTAAATCAAAATTTTATGGATAATATTGGTAGAATAGCAAATATAGAAACCATAATTAAAGGCAAAGATATTTGTATCCTTCCACTGGAATTGCACAAGTCCCCACTACAACATGAAGTGACTATTCCTGTACCAGACCTTCTAGAATCACTTTCAACGCATACAGGCACACAACTGCGACTGGTTACCATTAACCTGTCTTGAGAATATGTTCTTACAGTCTATAAAAATGAATAGAAAAAAAGCATCATCACAAAGAGCAAACATAAGTTAAGTTTGAGTGGTGTTTTACCATCTTTCAAAAGAAAACAGCAATCAATGACGATCAGTTATTCTGTTTAAGAAAAGAAAACACGATAGGTAATAGGAGAATGCTATGATGAGTAAATTAAGTTTTACAAATTTTTTGCATAAATATTATTCATTCAACTAAACATATGACCGGAATTAAGTACTTAGTTTGTTCACTACATAGAACACACTGTGAAAAAGTACCATTCAAATATTTAAAGTGATTATGAATAATATAATGCGTGTGAAAAGTCATCCATTAGGTAGTCATACTATTTCAGTATATAATCTATGTAATGAACAAACTAATATGTGATTTTATACTACCACAGTGCCTTGATTTTACGCGTCTATTAATTTGGTATAACCATAATATTTGAAGGCCTATAGATATCTCTTTTTCCCCCTGTTATATAAGAACAGAAATCTAGAACTGTGGTGGGATATAATTCCATAATGGAACAAATGCATTCGACAAAACACACAGTAATACAATATTATTTACTGACGACATTTCAAGCATAATTTATTACTCATAATCATATCAAGCTGTTCATACAACTTTCAGGTTTTGTTTTAATAGTTCCCTTATTTCTTATCCTTTGATTATGTTGGCAATAAGATCTTCTGTATCTCTGGCACTAGTGTTGCGTCATTCACCTAGCAAATGTTTGGTGAGGATTTTCCGAACAAAGAAACATATATAAATCTATCAATTGTTGGTTAGCCAGAATACAAATTTCATTCATTTCACTGGCAAATGAAAATCTGTGCTTTTTAATAACACTCATTAACAGTTTTTAAGAGTTGATTTGTAAGGATTCGATTTGTTTTTAAAGTTTGACCACGGATTGAGATCAATTAGTGAACTATTAAAAGCCAGGGAGTACTGGATAGATGTTTTGACCTAGTCTAGGACATATTGACAGCATGCACCTACCGGGATGAAAATTAATCTGATGCTGGCTAGTGACTGGTTACAGGACGAGGTTTTCTAGAGTTCTGGTGAGAAGTTGTGACCAGTGGGGTGCATCCTGTTGGGAGTGAGGAAAAATTCTCGCCAATGACATTTTGACTGGTGCCAATCGCGCTAAAGCTGGAATTCATCAACCATTGAAACGGGTCTCAGTGACTGAATGGGTTGCGAACTGGCCCTTGTAAACAGATGGTCCTCGCTTCGAAACCCAACGGGTGCTTACTGTCGATGAGTCCCAAACTAGGAGGAAAACGGCTGTCTAGTACTCCAGTGCTGGTTTCCAACAGTTCACTAACTGATATCAATTCATGGTAAAACTAGGAAAACAACTCATTGACAGTGATTGATTCGACTTGTTCAGGCAAAGTTTAAATAATAATAGTCTCTAATAATAAAAATGATAATAATAATAAAAAAAAGATGATTTAACGAAAAAGAAACATGTGAAAGCTTGTTTTTTTTATCACTTACTGAACAGAAACTACAACCGGATTGTATTTCACCTTTTTTAATTACGAATGGTTCATCACATTTAGAGCATACATGACAACGATGACTTGATACTACAATTAAAAAGGAAAGAAACTAAACGTTTAGTTTTCAAGCTTAGAAAACATCAAAATTCTTATATCTCTACCACAATCTAAAATATTTTATTATTCCATTCCTTGTATTTGGAATTCTTTGTGTTTCGAAACTAACATGGGTGTCCTACACATAGATCAGGTAGAATTCGACAGTCAGGACTTGGATTTTTATTTGGCTGTTTCCTAAACACTATCACATATGACCAGTCTATATAAGAAGTGGTGGGATTTACTGTACACATGCAGATAGAAAAAGATCTATTCGATCATCATGTTTTTTCGTGCAAAAAATTATTAACATAACAGAAGAATTCATATATATTGGAAATGTGAACATATTTTCTAAGGGATCTGCTTATGTCAACACGCTGATATAACCTTCAGATAGTATATGTCAGTTGATTATAAGAGTCGAGTACCTAAACTGGATTTTGTACAGAAATTTGATGTTTATTCGTGTTAATGCATACTATAAGAAAAAAGTTTTACACCTGACCTTTGTAAAAACAAGATTATCGACCACTCCAATAACTGATGATGGAATGCATCTAAAGGTTTTCTTTACAGATTATAGGGTCTCCTAAGATTAAAAACATCTTTGAAAGATATATTATTTAGTTTCAAACTGGAATAAGGAAATATTTGTTACATTTAACTGAAAATGCATAATCTCTAGAGCCTCTGAATTCGAGTAGAGTTTGTTGATTGAAAGAAAATTGAGTTTTCCCTTGTTCATTAGTCCACAATCTCAGTGGATTAATCTTGATAGGTTATGAAAGATATTAAATGATACATACAGCTTCATTTGTCCTCTTCGATTCTTCATGTCAACCTAAAAGATATGTGCGTCACGTGCAGTACACTTGTTTTGCATATTGTAGCGGAAAAAAACATGGGACAGACAATTAAGTGTTGATTTTATCCAACACACCCATAGCTTCAAATCGTAGACTGTCTAAGATTTACAGGAAACCAAGCTGAACATTGTGCCGCAACTTGGTAGAAGTTTGATTAATAATTTTCAAACCACATTCTGCCCTATACTGTTGTATCTATAAATGAATTGTTATTTGTAAGCCAGAGTGTGATTACCCATCAATAAATCGAGAAAGTAAATCGTTGATTTGTAATTAAAAAAATAATTTAGCAAAATAGTAAGTCAGACTCAGCTAAAATGTTCGTATATCCTCGAAAACCAAACTCGACTTTTCGATGCTAGTCATAAATCTTATGAAAGATTTATGTTTACATAAGTATTACTTACAAAACAGCCTTATAAAATCTTAGCTATGAAGGTATTTACTAAATTTGATCTTGTTTCACATGGATGTTTGTAACTAAGGTTGAATACGTTTAGATAATTCGTCTGTTTAAACGAAGTATTTTGAACTGAGTTACTTTTATATGAAATGAGCATTTATCATTCAGTGTTGTTTCACTTATACACACTATCAAAAGTGTCGTGATGAAAGTTCCATACTCGACGACTAAATACATCATTTTCTAAGAGAATACTCATTTTGACTTTAAGATAATGTAATAATTATGAACAATGACACTTTTTAGGTAACACTTTTATTAAATGAAGTTCAAGAAACAAGTAGATATATGATATCTGTTACTGTCTAATAACCAACCAAAGTATTCATTGCTGACATTCAGAGGGTCAGTTATTACGTTTCTCCCTGCAGCACTAGGTGGCACAAGTTTCAGTCACAAAGGGGACAACAGTTCCTATGAGACTGCAGATACGCTTCATTGAAAACTGTCAACAACTGTTAGTTGAAGGACAACAGTAATCATCTTAACTAAGTAATTTTACTTACTTTTACAGCGTGCGAAGACTAGGTACAAAATACTGTGATGAATTTAAATGTGTATTCAAAAAGAAAATAAAGTCTTGATCATGAATATCAAAATATTTTTGAAGATTTTCTTCTAAATTTACTGATAAACAATATATAAACAATTATATCTATTCTACGCAGTAGTGTTGGAGAATTCTCGTTTTCCAGTGAATTCATAATAGGTAAAATCTATATCATTTTTAATAATAAAACATTTTGATCTCATAATTTTTACGTTGTTTTAATGCTTTAATAAAATTACTGCAGGGAACTTTCAAATTTAGAAAAATGTCGCTGAAAAATCAATATATTTCAGCTTTTTCACTGATATTAGTAATGTTAGTAACTAGTAGAAATATTAAGAGAAATGTGTATCTGTAGTTTGAATAATGCATGTTTATGCAGATTACATTGATGTGTTTTATAAATCTCTGGTCTAAAAATATTATTTCTGTCATCCCACACTGTACAAATTTCTGACTAAAGTGACTTTGGTTCATCTATGATTTTGAAAGTCTTTATAAACATTATTTGACTTTTTTATTGATGTGGAAATACTGTATGCTTCTGATTAACTTGTCTTCTGTCTCCCAGGGATCTGTTTGATATGCATTCAAAGTGTTTGTCTTCGATAATTCTAAAAATAGACTATTATCCTAATCACAGAAATGCATGACATTTAAACCGGTTAGCACATTCCAGCGTTAATAACTTCACCATCAGCTTATAAAGATTAACGGTGGTTTGGTTCAAATGCATTTTACAAACAAGCAATCAGTTTGATAACTCTGATTTCTTTAATATTCGTGATTTAGGTGTTTATTATTCACATTAATAAACTGTAGTCGTACTATCCAGTTCGCATTTTATTCAGAACTAACTTCGACACTTATATTCGATTAAATTTCTTTTCTTCCTTAAATATTCATCATTATTATAGGCATATGAAACAAAGAACTACCGATGCTTGCCAAACTAGGATGACACCTCCATCCAGTACTCCCTGGTGTTCAATGGTTCTCTAACTGACATCAATTCGTTGTCAAACTAGGAAAGGAAAGAATGCCTAATATTTCACTAGTACATAAATTATCAACAAAGGGCAAATTCCACAATTACAGAAGTTAAAAAAGTAATCATGTTGATATGCTAAATGAATATAGGATATAATATGTCATATATTTTCTCAGCATACAATGTTAGAATGATTTGTTGTGTTTTATATATCCAGTATGTTGTTTGATTATTTAAGTACACTAAGAAAACTGCGTCTTATCACTAGTTTATTTGCAAGTCTATATACCTAAATAACAGTAGAAGAGCGAATTGGTAAAAAATATTCATTTTCAAATCGGTATTTCTATATAGCCAAATTATGTACACCTTGTCTTTAAATCATCATTTGCACAGATCTTCCATGTTGTGCTACTTCTGGCCTCCATATTGTGTTCTTATGTATTCCTTGTACGTCTCCCATATATCTCCGCAACGCAGTATCATTTGCTTTCTCTGATATCAAATCTATCTTCAGCTTCCCACTAGAACCAAGATAACTACCTACCTGAATACGGTATGTCACAAGTGTGCATCAGATTGTCAGGTGTGAAGACAAACACTCGCCAGTGGTCAGGCTGTATCATCAATTGGAAGAAGTTGGAATTCATGAACTATTGGATTGGGTCCCAGTGGCCTAATGGTCTACGAGTTCGCCTTGTAACCTGAAGATCCTAGATTCGAACCTCAGTGGGTAACTATTGATGAAGATTTCGAAAGTGAGATGAAACAGCTATCCAGTACTCCCAAGGTTTCCAGTAGGCCTCTAATCGATGTCAGTTCACGATGAAATCTTGAAATCAAATCTATCTCTTTGCTATTCAATGTTTTTAATGTCGATGAGTGTCTCTCTATATACAACTAACAAATTTTATCATTAGCGCACGCCACACCTAAACAGTCTATCACTATATCAAATACCATCACTCATAAAATATAAATTCACCCATGAGAAATATTATGATCAAACAGGATAAACGTGTACGTAATATATTTATCAGATTCACTGTTATAAGTGTATTACTTCGATTACAGCGTGATTTAAAATTTAAGATATTCTATCGAATATTTACACACAGATTACGTCATTTACACTAAATCTGTATATAACTGTATTCAGTTTCACTAACACTTTGATATAAAAGGTACGAGTAATATATGATATTATACCTTCCGCTAATAAGTGATATATATATATATATATATATATATATATATATATATATATTGCATATGCCTAATTAATGTATGCAGTGAATTTCGGATAGACTGAGTGTGTTGTATGACATTTAACCATTAGTGAAAAGAACAGCCATTTTTTTCTAAACTAATAACGGAATTTTTAGTTAAATATTGGTAATATACAATCTGGTTTACAGTCAGACTCAGTTAATAGGTGTTCTCTGATCATTCTATGATCATAGCGACCACATATTCTCTAAATTATGATTCATATTCCTTTATGTCATTTTGTGAGGTAGACATTAGTATTTATTTAGCAGTCAATTGATTACAAGTATTACGAAAGGGTTATCAGCATCTAAAGGGTTATTATTATTGCTATTATTACATATTTAGTAAATTTCATCCATTGATATTGAGATTAGGATTTTTAACACGTCTATAAAGATGCTGTTGTTACAAATATTTGGATAATACGTTTTAGTTGAAGAGGTTTACGTCTTAGAAGTTCAGTTTCTTTGAACAGTGATAAAACTTGTCACCTAGGTGATATAGAGTGGAAAATTAATATATCAGAATTTTTTAAGGTGTTGGACAGATAGACAACAACTCCTAGTCGTTAAAGATGTTGCCAACCACGGAGTGAAGCTTGAATTATGTGTTTATTTTTGGTTGTTCCAATTCCCTGTATAATTCAAAAATCTCCCTTTTTAGACGCTTCATTATGCTTTTATAAAATGAACTAAATATTTATTTGAAGTATGCTAAAATTATCTAACATTGGTTATTTGCGTATTTTATTGTTCAGGCTGCATGTTGATATCACAGCATTCAGTCAGGGTTGTTCCCACTGTTTTATTTAAAAATACTAAAACTGTCGTGTTTTTGAAGACGACTCATTGATTGGTGGGTCAGTTCTCTGAAGCGAAAATATACCCCCGCCCAAATTTGAGTGGGTTTGAACAAAAGGAAAAGAAATTACAAGAATTTTTTTGAATTTTATTACATTTATGCCTAAAATATAGAGTCAGCTGATTGGATTTTGTGTACACGAAGATGACAGCACCCTACAATCGTCGAATATAATAAGCTATTTTAAGGAATGCTTTGCAAAGCAAATTCTATCTGACTTTGGTATATTTTAGGGAAAACATATAAGTGGATATTGTGAACTGTGTAGTGTGTCACAGCAATGAAATTCGAACCATTGGGTCATGCGCATACATGTTAAACACATTTATATGAAGACAAACTCAGGGTACTTTTAAAGAAACCGGAATCAATAGGGATCATATTCATAATTTAAAGTTCCTATCTATAGCCTTTTAGCAAACTAAAAATGACTTAATCATAAGATGATCTATTCAGTAGTCTCACTACGTTAACAGTACTAGGTCTAAACAGTGGTCTGTTATATATTTATAACAACTATAAATTGATTTATTTCCTGTACTGTACTCTCATTTTATACAGAAAGTCAGATATTCAATGTTCAACGGTTCAGCATATGACACCATTATGAATAATGAGAAATGGTATTTATATTCACTTTATTTATGTAAGTGAAGTTAAACCACCGTTCAGTCGTTCAATTCCGACGTTCTTTATTTAAAAACCATAAATTTAGGAAATTATTAATTAGATACAATTACCGTGTAATTACCTATAATCATATATTTCCGGACGAAATTATATAATTTTGTAGGAGTAAAGATGTATAGAAATAAAAAATAATTACAATTGAACAAAACAAATATTTTCATGAATTAGTTTGTAAGGATTCTATTTGTTTCAGATTAGATTACGGGTTAATATCGGTTAGAGAACCATTGAAAACCAGGGAATACTAGACAGTTGTTTCATCCTAGTTTGGGCTAATTGCCAATACGCACCTACTGGGTTTCGAACCTAAGACTTTCTGGTTACAAAGCAAACTTGTAAACCATTAGTTGGTAGTCACGCTAAAATCACTAACTGGTAGAAGTTAGGATTCATGAGCAATTTTTCCGGGTCCTAGTGACTGAATAGTATATGAGCTTGTGTTGTAACAGGAAGTTCCTGTTACCCTGGTGGGCGCGTACTGCTGATGGTTCCCGAACTGGGATAAAACAGCCGTCTAATACTCCCTGATTTTCAATGGTTCTCTAAATGTTATCAATCCGTGGTCTAACCTTAAATAAATATTGTTGATAATCATCGAAAACAATGATTTCTTTGAAGAAATACTTTGAATAGTAGACCAGTTGTTTACTCGTAGCATAAATCCACAAATCAGTAAACCCGTTTTGAATTTCGAGCCAGTAAAGTTATTAAGCTTATTAGTCAGAAGATCATGATCAAAAGCCCAAGCTCAGAGATCATTAAAAAACACCTTACATCCATAAACTTAGCTGTAAATCTCTTTTGTTATATACCAAATGATCTGGTAATCACTACTATTTTAACTGTTACTTGGACAGTAAATGTGAGAAAGGATGACATATTCTTCAATCAGAACTCAATTTTTTAAACTGTTGATAGTTGATAAAGCAAGTGAAAATGACTTGCTGTAGGTTTACGTCTAATTGCAGTTATACAGATTTTCTGCATACTAAACACAAATAATTGGCGTTTTCAGTAGTTAGTGTACTGAAGGATACAGATCTGAATTCCACAGAGACGGCTAGTTCCTTTCTACCTGCAAATACCTATTGCAGACGACTACCAATTAAAATGATTTATAGACTTAACTATACTGAAAGACTGTTTTGCTAACAAAGAAGTATGGGAGATGTTTTGTTTCATTCCATATCATGAAGATATTTCTCATTTTTACAAACACTCAGAACCTCACTCTCTCTTGTATGTGTTCGACCACACTTTTAGTTGCTCATACACTTTGGTTCTTCACAAATGTAAATTATTTTATACAAATCCTATTATCCATAGCGAGATGCTAGTATTCTTCAACATGAAAGCTGTGAGTATTTTTTTGAAATGTTGAATAACTACTGAATTAAGCGGATTAAGATTGAATGAAGACATATGAACAAGCAAGTACTCACATGCGTAAGAATAAGGGCAAGACAAGTTGAAAGGCCCTTCATTGTGTACAAGCCTACATAATAACAAATGCATAATTATTTATGAAATTCAGTACCAAGCTAGACCAAGTAAACAAACACCATGGATTCCAGATGTTACTAAATAGTCTTCCAAAAGATAAGATAAAATTTAATATTATTGCAACACAACTGTTAGCGTCAATCTACATTAGGACTGTTTTTCTAATAGTTGAAGAAAAATGTTATGAAGAATAACAGTTAATTAGTAACGAGACCTATAATCTTAAAAACATAAGGAAAACTGTAGAATCCACTGTATTAGTTACGAAAACACTGGAGACACCAGATTGTAATTAGGGTATTATTTGTATAAGAATCTTCAACAGCTGTTAGTAGGTATTCATTGAATGTATTACACAAATATTTTTATGGGACCTGTCTGTCATTTATTAAACTTTGATTCTCTTCAGACGAATGACATAATTTGCCAGTTTTCCATTTTTTTTGCTGGTATAAACAGCAGATTTAAAAAAAACTGTTTTTGCACTCTTAAATGAATCCTGTGATAGTAATCAGTTCAATCTGATCACTAGGATTCGTGAAAAAATTACAAATTATAATAAAAACAATTTTATATAGGACATGAAGTTCAAATTATAAAATTATTTAATTGATAATAACTTGCAGTACAATTTTGATACTGTGAGGAATAATGCAAAAAAAACACTCATTAGCGAGCAATGGAAGATGAATCGTTTCACTTTTAATTCTCCTGAGTTTTAAAAGACTGGCTATTGAATTAAGAAGACTATTTTCGATAACTTCTTCATCAGGTTCTACAACCATATGTCCACGATAATTGAAGAGTAATTGTTATTGACAACATTAACATTTTATTAAAAATAACATCGAATCATTAAGATGAACAGATTACAGTTAAAAGTATATGTATGTAATGGTTTGCATGAATATAACGTTAAAGTAAACATCAGATAAAGGGGGAAAATGAAATGTTTGTTGGTATAAATTCGACAGTTTATAAGAGAAATGTGAAATTTAAACATATAGGACACAAGGTCATATCCGAAGTGCATGGCACTATACTGTGTTTGTGAATCGATAGATTCCACAATAAGCCAAGATAGCTATGGTAGCTCGAGTTGTTCCATTAGTACACAAATTCCCAGAGATTTTAAGTAAATGGTTATAGCTTCTTCTGTTTAGATTATTCGGTAACTAGTGGTTTCAGTCAGTTTTTTTTGGCGACGATAGCCTAAAGCGGAGGAATCTCATATGTTAGCCTTATGGTCTGTTTGAACCAGATGTTCAAATGTTGGACATTAATGCTTCTCAATACATCTTTGTTTGGTCACACCGGGTGTTCTCAATCACAAAAAATCACATTTCCAGAACTATGACCTACATAAAATCATTAATCCAGTGTTACATTATGGCTTTTGGATATGGATATGTATTAAATCCACATTTCTCCCATACACAATCAAATTTATACCAACAAACATTTCATTTCCCCTCCTTATCCGATGTTCAATTTAACTTTATATTCATCCAAACCACTATATATATACTTTCAACTGTATTCTGTTCATCTTAATGATTCCATTTTATTTTATTAAAACATATTTGTTGTCAATAACAATTACTCTTCAATTATCGTGGATATGTAGTTACAGAACGTGATGAAGAAGTTATCGAAAATAATATATTTTATTCACTAATTATTCTTCGAATTTTCAATTGGTACAGGAAAACAGTAAATAAATCTTAAAATGTTTTCAAATATCTAGATTATTTCAAAGATACGATACAGTTTGAAAAATCCAAGATTCGTTGCTGATATGATCCATCGAACACCAAAATATATATTATCAATTCGGTTCTGTTTAATTTCTTGCAATGGATGAAGTTAGCGAAAGCGGCACTAATTCTCAGGAGATATATGTTAGAAATATCTACCGTTTGCCTTAATTGCTAGTGTGTGTTTTCAAAAGTAGCTGGTTTGAAAGTTGTCACGATACATCTAAGTGAACAGTGTATTAGCAGCTGTATGGCCCAATAGTGAAAAAACTTGAAGGAAAGGATAATGGTAGGATCAAAACAAGGAAATTACAGAAGTCTTCTCTAGTGCTAGTCGAAACATTACTCTGCTTCCATGGAAGAATTAATTTTTCAGGTCACCAAACTACTTTTAGGCTTTCAATGGCATCACTTTTAAGTGGAGCTGGTCATTCGTCATGGCCTTCTGTACGAAGTCTATAGAGGTGATTTGAAAGTTCTAGTCGCTATTTATGAGTACTTTTGGATAAATGAGGAAATGCATAGTAAGCAAAGATGTGAAATGCAGGCAACTGACAGGCTCATTTGGTCAACAATTAATGATATCCTTCAAGTTCTTCGTGTACAACAAGATTGACTTAGTGACGGGTATCAGCGAACTTTTTGTCGAGAAAAATAAATATAAATGTATGTTTATGTCCTCAAATGCACTTTATACATTAACAAGTAATGTTAGGGTATTGTTTCGCTGAAGGCAACAGTGTAAAACTAATTTATCATGCTTGATATGACTCTTTAAGATATAAGTTTGGTTGTATCGTGACAGCAACTTTTTTGATGGCTCTTAGGTACTTATCAGTTGAATTAAAGAAACCATTTATGCTTTAAAGTATGAAGTATTTCATTTAACATCATGAAATGCTTTGATTATATACTAGCAGCACCACAACGTTGGGGATATTTCGCTTTTTTGATATAATTTTTTATTGTTCAGCAGTACGAAGGTATTTCCATAATAAGGCGAGACATGGTCACTGACTGATAGTGACTGAAGAAAGCTTCCCTTACTTTTCAGGTGAATCTAATCTGGTTTCCCTTGCATCATAATTTATAATTAGAGTTAAATATTTCAGTTACGTTTGTCACAAGTAATTCTGTTTAGGAATTTGTGGGATTTGCACATTTATTATTTGTGAGAAAGAAAGCATTTATTCAGCTAGTTTTTGTTTCATCGTTGTTAACTGAATGAGTTTTTGTACAGTGTGAATAGCTCACGGCATGCTAATAGTATCTTTAAGTATCCACGACATTAAAACAATATATTGATATGGTAAGAATGAGGTAAACATATATTTGTTATTCAGCTACACGTGAGTAGAAGAGCATAAAATTTTACAGGCCCGTATTTCCACTTTATTGGAGTGTTATATCAACCATAATAACAGTACTTTTTGTTTCCTAGCCAGTTATACTTATGCAAATAGATTCATTAACATCAATAATTATCTAAATGGTGATCATATTTTTACGATAATGTTACACATATAAATCCAACCAGTCAATTATAAAAAGTGCATTTCAGTTATTGTACAGACAATTTGCATTGACAATATTATCGATGATACAATTCATAAACTAAGATTCTATTGTTTGTAATATGTACCTTTTTACACATTCATGGATTCTAACTAACGTAGTAAGGACAGAGTGTCGGGTGATTTCAGTCTCACCGTTTCGATTTCTTTCATGTACATTCACTTCTTAAGATTCAGAATATAGGGGAAAACAGACCAGTAGTGCACCTTGATTATTCATGGTTCACTAACTTTAATGAAGGCTGAAACACATTGCCATTTATGGAATAATTTGATTATAGTATCCCAGACATGAGCTTAAAACTAAGCAGTTGTAAAATTTTCTCAGTGAAACAGTTAATTCTTTTCTTTCGAATACTTCGGAATGTTTAGGCTGCATTTACCTTCAGTATGTTAGAAAGCTTATGTCTCCATAATAAATTATAATTTACCTTGATCATTCTGATATGTTCGTTTTTTCTATGATCACTCTGGCACAATGATAAATTTAGGAAATACTATCCACAAATTTTAACTGAAGCCTAATATTAGCAAGATAAATGTCCGTTGACTAAATAAAATTTTTCAAGAATCCATATCATTTCCTAATACTAAAAGAGAGGTATTCAGACAACATCTCAAGACATAATTTTGAATCCGATTCTAGTACTGTTGCGGAATACTAATAAGACCACTAAATAAATGTCAAATAGATATTTTCCAGAATAATAGCTACATCATTATATGAAATAATTACCCCTAAGGTTTGAGGTTGAATTATGTGAAAATTGTTTGTAAATTTCAAGGAAGTGTTTACTTCCTCCATAGCTTGTTAAAACAAAGGCAATTCTAAATTTAAACTACACAGTTACTTCTTATTCATTCTGTCTTTTCTTGAAGTTAAAAATAGATTTATGTGTATGAAGTATAACGAGTTTGTAATGGTTGACTTAACAGAAAGAACTAACTAGTTATTCCCACTGATGGGTTGCTGTTGTCAGACTCAAACATTTCCGAAAGACTTCAGTGCCTTTTACACACATTTTATTTGAATAATCTGTTAGCATTGGTATTATACAGTGGAATTAAACGGAGAATTTTCAACCTTATTGAGTTATTATTGCTTTCTGTTCATTTATAAACGTGATAAACCTTTTTATAGTAAATGCCAAATAGAAGTACCACAAATATCAAACAGTCATTGAGGAATTTAGCTGCCCTACATACAAATTATAAGGTTGGCTGATATTACTGATTTTAATTCGCTAAAAAATAGTATGAGTCTGCAATTGCATCGACCATGAAATATCCAGTGGTTATTACAAATTTAAATAAAAGATAACACATTATGATATAAAGTATTCATTCCTAGGCTAGGATATTATAACGCGTTTGACAGTCTGCGGAAAAAAATAATCTCATAGAAAAGTGAAGCTATTCATAACTCACTTATTAATTAAGTAAGTTTAACAAAGGCAAGTTTCCACCAGAAATCAACAGTGATCAGTAACTAAGATAAGTATGCAGTGATACTCGGAATATGACTGAAGAGACATGAAAAAGTTTATAAATCACGAATTCGGAACGCTTTTGTCAGGTATGAGACTGCTTTCAGAGTAACGTGAACTGATTGTTCAATGTCCAAAACTAGCAGAAATTCTATAACCGCATAAATACTAGAATGGATGTTAATCACTCAACATATTTCACATATACAGGACGATGCGGATTGCGCATACCTTGAGGAAACCGTTGAATACCGTCGCGCGCAATTCAGGCTATCTCTTGAGTAGAACCCGAATGGGAAGGAACGAGTTGGGCATCCGACGGTGACATGTAGGAGTTCGTGCGAGGAGGAGATGAGAGATTATGTGCAATCCTGGGCCCATTTGAAGAGGACAGCAGATAGTAGAAGAAAGGAAAGATGTGTTGTTGAAGTCCTATATTCTACTCGGAACTCAAGGAAAGAATAATAATGTAGAACAATCTATCTACACGTGATTTCACCTCCTAAACTAATAACGAGAAAACTATTGGATGGATACAAATCCGTTCGTAACGCATGTACAAGTTCATGTTGACCGTTTATTTAGTTCCTTGAAGTATTGATCATATATATATATATATATATATATATATTAGAAAAGACATTTAAGCTAACAATATTGTTTTCAAGATCTTCTTCAGGCTTTACTTCAATTTATATAGATTTATATATAAAAATTTCAACAAGTGATGGTGGTTTTGTGGATCACGTAATAATGTGGTAAATGTTTAGAACGTCAGCAATAACGACGATTATAATGATAACAAAATAATGATTATAAAGTTCGTTAAAGACGGAATACAATCTTAACGAAATTCTATTTTGAATCATTTGATTGATAGCGGTCAGCAAGTAGGCAGAGGAAGTGCCTTCAATGTTATCTATCGCATTCAATCGGACCTTTTGAATAGAATTCCAACCCGCCTTTTACACAAAGCCGAATCTATGGGAATTCG